TTTTCCACTTCAAATCAACGTGCCAGTGCGTGGCAGAGTGCAAGGGATTAGCTGTAAATATGGTTTGGGGGCCGGCTAGTCTCTCCCCTGATGCTTCGGCTAGAACACTATCCTGCGTAATCCGTACACCCAAGGGCAGAGGGCCTTAATCGCCGTCATGTCCGAAGTCCATACGACGACCCAGCGGATGTCTCGGGGTATGGCATGAAGGCACTAGTTTTTTCCTTTGGTATTTTGGAATTAATTATCTAATTAAAGTTGTTGTACGCGGGTTCGATTCCCACCGTATTAAGAGTACTTTTTTTCTCTTTCTTTTTATTTAGTCTATTTTTTAATATTAATTTTTAAATCATTAAAATAATTAAAATAAAAATATTATTTATTTCAAGAAAACTATAATTCTTTGTTTTTCTTTTAAAATAAAGTTAATAATAAAAACGTATTCTTTGCAAAAATGATTGAAACTGGTAGTACAACAGTAGTACAACAGTTATGTACATTATGTCAATGGTACGCAGTAACTTACCACAAATATGAGGCAAATGGCGATCCCTAAAACACATTTTATCGCCCACATACTGGTTCTGTATTCCACTAGTGCTCAATAAACCTTACCAAAGAAATAAAAGACACCACACGCCGACCGAGACAAAATGAAAACTGTTTTTTGTCGAAAAAAGGCATCAGTACCGTCCTGAATGCTGACCTCTCTCACGGGGACCATTTGCGTGCGAGGTGAGCCACGGAGTACCTGACTGCCTGCGGATTGGTTCAATGAATGGCCTGACCGGCCTGGCTATGAGTGTAATTTATTTCATATGTAATGAAAAGATTAACCTCTTAATTGCATATTCCATGATTGGTCTGTCTTGTATGAGAACACACAGACGCTTATTGATGAGATCGTACTATTATAGGGTAGGAAGATTACGTACTGTAACGTGATTGAGCGAATGTCCCGCCAGCGGCCTTTTCCTAGGTGGTCTGGCACGCAGATTATACCTTTACAAATGAATGTATCTTTAAATACAACAAATATAGCTTCCTTGTACTAGCTATCTCTCTATTTATATAGTTAGGTTTCCAGTCAAGGTCCGTCAGGTTTCAAAGTGTTCGTATTGTTGAACTTGTGCATTCTTTACTTTACCGTTGGTATTTGCGAGTAATTATAGCTTAGTATAGGAAATCGCATGGTTTCGAGTGCACTTTGGAATAAATTTGCACGAGCGGGTTTTCAAAAAGYTCAAAATAGCACGAGCCCGATAGTATTATGTACCTCTTTACGGATAAAGTAGGCGAAAGCTCTTGAAGTTTCAACATCAAGTTTCAACGTCTCTCGCTTCAACTTTCGCGTCAAGTGACCTTGAACAGCTGTAAAATGGCCAAACTGATGTTTTCTTTCCTTCTTAATTCTCAAATAACAAGCAGCGAGTCCTCCTTTTGCCATTCTCAACCTTTTTTGCTGGTTTTCAACTGATGAAGCTTGACTTTTTTAGCATTTTTGAATCCATTTTTAAGATGAAAATCCGCCATCTTGAATTTTGTGAGAACTTCCAGAGAGGGAAGGCTGTTCTGCTGCTATGACAACTGCTGTGATCTGATTGGCTAGTTTGAATTTTTTTTTCTTTTCAACCAATCACTGAAAAGTGTTTCACATTTTTGCACTGGTGTTTCAGGAAAACAGCACTGCTCTCAACCAATAAGAAGTGAGAAAGTTTTGCATCTATATAATAATAATGATAATAATGATAATAATAATAACAATGATAATAATATTAATATAATAAATAATATTATTAGGATTAATTTTTACTCAATAGATTTTATGGTTATACATTAGTAGATATTTTTTTATTACAGTATATTTTGTTATAGTTTTTCTTTTTTTCTTTTTTTTTTTTTATTATAAATAGATATATTTTTTATTGTAGAATATATGAAGAGATAATCTATACGTCGTATATATCTACATAGATACCAAATACAATTGTTTCTTTTTCTTAGAGAGAAATTAATGTAGAAGTATTATTATTATTATTACTGATTGTATCTTGAAGAATTATTATTGTCAATAGATTTAAAGTTTATTAATTTTTAAAACAATAGAAAAGAGATTATGAATATAAAGTAACAAATATATGTTTAAATTACATATCTATCGATGAAAACATATTTGTAAAATAAATTGTATAGCTCAAAACACGAGTCCAGCTCTTCACACTGATATAATAATAATAAT